TTTAAAGGTATGGTGTATATGTCTTAATGATGATCACATCATTCGCATGATTGTGACCTAGAGATTAGTAATGAACAGCAAGTCCCGCTACTACCCAGCAAATGCTGTTTTTGAGTGTATGGGTTCATATCCTCCTGTTTTTAGCAGTGGGTGTTATGTTGTCTGAGCATGTAGAGACATAAACGCTCCAAGATGTGGGCCAGAAAGAATGAACAGGCCAGATTTGACCCAGAAGGGATGGGAAGCAGTATCACGAAGGGTCTAATAGTGCAAAATCTAACCGTCTACTCAGAATAAAGCCATATTAAGAACTTTCTTGGGTTCCATGATCACTACAGATGGTGGCAGCAATCACGAAATTAAAAGATGCCTGCTTCTTGGGAGAAAAGCAATGACAAACCTAGACAGCATCTTAAAAAGCAGAGTGATCACCTTGCCAACAAAGGTCTGTATAGTTAAAGCTATGGTTTTCCGAGTACAGTCATACCTCGGGTTAAAGGCGCTTCAGGTTAAATCTTTTCAGGTTGCGTCCGACGGTGAACCGGAAGTAACGGAATGGGTTACTTCCGGATTTCGCCTTTCGCGCACGCACTCAGAATGACGTCACGCGCATGCGAAGACGCGGCGAATTGTGACCTGCGCACGTGTAGACGTGGGTTGTGTTCTGTTCATGATGCAAATAGGGCTCTGGAATGGATCCCGTTCACATCCAGAGGTACCACTGTAGTGCTGTATGGAAGTGAGAGCTGGACCATAAAGAAGGCTGATCGCCGAAGAATTGATGCTTTTGAATTATGGTGCTGGAGGAGACTCTTGAGAGTCCCATGGACTGCAAGAAGATCAAATGTATCTATTTTGAAGGAAATCATCCCTGAGTGCTCACTGGAAGGACAGATCCTGAAGCTGAGGCTCCAAAACTTTGGCCACCTCATGAGAAGAGAAGACTCCCTGGAAAAGACCCTGATGTTGGGAAAGATGGAGGGCACAAGGAGAAGGGGACGACAAAGGACGAGATGGTTGGACAGTGTTCTCAAAGCTACGAACATGAGTTTGACCAAACTGCGGGAGGCAGTGGAAGACAGGAGCGCCTGGCATGCTCTGGTCCATGGGGTCACGAAGAGTCGGACACGACTAAACGGCTAAACAACAACAAGAACAACATAAGAAGAGCCTGCTAGATCTAGTCCAACATCCTGCTCTCACAGTGGCCAACCAGATCTGCCTGTGGGAAACCCGCAAGCAGGATTTGAACCCAAGAGCCCCCTCCCTTCCTGTGGTTTCCAGCAAGTGGTATTCAGAAGCATTGTTGCCTTAAACTGTGGAGGCAGGGCATAGCTGTCATGACTAACTGAATTCAGCGGGGTTTACTCCCTGATAACTGGGGTCAGCGCTGCTCATTTGTTCCAGAAAAAAAAGATGACACAAAACAAGGAGGGATGGCGATGAGGAATTGGGGGGGGGGGCAAAAGAAGGACACACCACCCTCGCCCCAGACTTTAGTCCCTTAATGTGCAATACCACAGTCCCATGGAATGCAAGGACTGTGTCATCGGGCTCTCTTTAAATCAGCTTGACATTTTTACTTGTTGCACAGCTGGGTTTCTTTAGCTCCCTCTCCTGGCAGACAAAGGGCAATTTAAAATGTGCATACATTTAAACGCTTGAACAAAGGGCACTTGATTGACGGAAGCCTTCTCCCCGTACCCTATGAAGGAGGCACCTTCGGTCCTGTGACCGAGAGTTGATGGTGATGACTTGGGAGAGATCACTGTTCAGCAATAAATGATCCACACCCCTCCAGCAGAAACTTTATCTGTGAAAGAGAGTTTTTCCACCACACCCTAATTGACCGTTCTCCCATATACCTCAGAGGTTTGATGCGTGGGCACTTAAGAATTGGATATATAAGCTTCTTTTCGTCCCCACCCCCCAGCTCAGCATTGCATCAGGTTTGCTCCTAAAAATGTGAAATGCATTTGTGGTCTTGGTTAAATAGGTATCATTCCTTAGCAGGTTGTTAGGAAGAAACAGAAGGCAAGGGAAAGCTTGATCTTTTTACGAAGCCTTTCGGCCCTCGCAGCTGTACCTTTAACACCAGCTTGCTCTGCAAACAATAGCAGGTGAAAATGAGCTGCAAAAGGCTTCACTTGCTGGTTTCCACAGATCACATTCCTATTGTTATAGGGCTTCTAAGGTCTTATATAGATAAAATAAATGTTCATAAATGTACAAGGCAAACACACATGCATAAGTATAGTGTCTGAAACAGTACAGGAGAGCAACCCTGAAGCCATTTTGACTCTCCCAAATTGACCTCAAATATTTCTCTGCAAGGAAGAAGGAAATGGGAAAAGCTTTCCAATTGTCTTTGGGCTGCAGGGCTTCTTGTTGTTGTTTAGTTGTTTAGTCATGTCCGACTCTTCGTGACCCCATGGACCAGAGCATGCCAAGCACTCCTGTCTTCCACTGCCTCCCACAGTTTGGTCAAATTCATGCTGGTAGCTTCGAGAACACTGTCCAACCATCTCATCCTCTGTCGTCCCCTTCTCCTGGTGCCCTCAATTTTTCCCAACATCAGGGTCTTTTCCAGGGAGTCTTCTCTTCTCATGAAGTGGCCAAAGTATTGGAGCCTCAGTTTCAGATCTGTCCTTCCAGTGAGCACTCAGGGCTGATTTCATTAAGAATGGAGAGGTTTGATCTTCTTGCAGTCCATGGGACTCTCAAGAGTCTCCTCCAGCACCATAATTCAAAAGCATCAATTCTTCTGCAATCAGCCTTCTTTATGGTCCAGCTTTCACTTCCATACATCACTACTGGGAAAACCATAGCTTTAACTATACAGACCTTTGTCGGCAAGGTGATGTCTCTGCTTTTTAAGATGCTGCCTAGGTTTGTCATTGCTTTTCTCCCAAGAAGTAGGCGTCTTTTAATTTCGTGACTGCTGTCACCATCTGCAGTGATCATGGAGCCCAAGAAAGTAAAATCTCTCACTGCCTCCATTTCCTCCCCTTCTATTTGCCAGGAGGTGATGGGCCCAATGGCCATGATCTTTGTTTTTTTGATGTTGAGCTTCAGACCATATTTTGCGCTCTCACCCTCATTAAAAGGTTCTTTAATTCCTCCTCACTTTCTGCCATCAAGGTTGTGTCATCTGCATATCTGAGGTTGTTCATATTTCTTCCAGTAATCTTAATTCTGGTTTGGGATTCATCCAGTCCAGCCTTTTGCATGATGAATTCTGTATACAAGTTAAATAAGCAGGGAGACAGTATACAGCCTTGTCGTACTCCTTTCCCAATTTTGAACCAATCAGTTGTTCCATATCCAGTTCTAACTGTAGCTTCTTGTCCCATATAGAGATTTCTCAGCAGACAATTGAGGTGATCAGACACTCCCATTTCTTTAAGAATTTGCCATAGTTTGCTGTGGTCGACACAGTCCCTATATATATACAGTCTAGCAAGTATCTGTTAAGCTGAGCACACTATCAGTATGCATAAGAGATTCAGGAAATAAGTATTTACCATCTCAAAGGAATGGCCAGACTACTCAGAAAAGGCAATCAAATAAGGCATTATCAGGTATCCTGGCAGACAGGAGAGAAGCAAATTTCTGCTGGGAACACCTCTTTCTGTGATGTATGTATGATGTTTTGGGGGGTGGTCTTGAGCTACAGGGTAGGCAATTTCAAAAGTCTATACAAGTGCTTGCACAGCAATGTTCTGGGTTCCTCTTCTCCCTCCCTGCATGGGATGAGTGGGGGACTCTGTTGCAATAGGTTAATAAAGATCATGCTTACTAGCTGCATTGCTTCTCAATAGCCTCAGGTTGGCCTCTGGTATTTTCTCCTACCAATAGAGAACCTACATAAGGACTCTATACTGGCTCTTGGATACCCCATAAGGGAAAAAGGAGCCGGTTTTTTTCTTATAACACTGTGAAAAGTGCAAAAACGATGCTGCAGTGTGGCAGCACTGACCCTCCCTGCCCATTCATATTTGGAAGGTGCCTTCACTGTACTGCATTTGGTGCATGCTAAAAAATATTATTTTACCAGTAAGCCTACACAGGCATGTAACTTTTAACATGTAAACTTATTATGTGGTGTAGTTGGTTCCAACATCAGACCAGGACTTGGGAAACCAAGGTTCATATACCCACTCGACCTCACTGGGTGAACTTGAGCCAGCTGCTGCCTCTCAACCTAACCTACCTGGTAGGGTTGTTGTGGAGATTAAATGAGGGGGAGAACCATGTATACCACTTTGAGATCCATGGAGAAAGAGGTGGCCTATACAGTGGTACCTCGGGTTAAGAACTTAATTTGTTCCGGAGGTCCGTACTTAACCTGAAACTGTTCTTAACCTGAAGCACCACTTTAGCTAATGGGGCCTCCCGCTGCCGCCACATGATTTCTGTTCTCATCCTGAAGCAAAGTTCTTAACCCGAGGTACTATTTCTGAGTCTGTAACTTGAAGCATCTGTAACCCGAGGTACCACTGTAAATGCATTAAATAAATTACCGGTACACATAATTGGCTTTATTCCTATGATAGGCGTGTAGCAGCAGCAGCAGCAGCCAGGAGTTCGGCAGGTGCAGCTGGACTCCTAGCTGGCCCCCTTCCCTCTCCTATGCCCGTGCAGGAAAGGCAGAGGAGCCCTGATCCGCTTTGCAGCTGGCCGCCCGGCTGCCAGCGTTTAGGCGAGGGTGCAGAGCCCCCAACAAGGATTCCTCAGCGTCACGTGTGAACGCGTCTCAAGAAGCCTTTCTCCTTGCACTTAGGGCTTGACCTCCCCCGAGCGCTTAGGGTTGCCTTGTAAAGCAATGACGCGGGGCAATAAGAGCTTGCGAAGAGCCGCAGGGCAGCGGTACAAAGGTTGCTTTGTGTTTCCTGGGTTTGCCATGGGGCACCCTCCTCACCCCACTCCGCCGCCGCCGTTTCTGTGCACGGGGGGGGGGGGGACTCAGGAGCAAAGGATCTCCAGTCCTCTGATCCAACCAACCAGCCAGCCAGCCAGAAGCCCTTTCCAGCAGCTCGGGGATCCAGATCCCCCGGGGAGCAGCTGCCAAGGCCTTCCTCCCACAAAATCCCGCAGCTCGCGCGCCGCCGGCTCGTATTTAACAGATGGCGAGTTGATCGCGGGCCCCAGTGCAGGTCGAGCAGCAGATGGTGGCCGGCTCTCTTCTCTGCTCTCTTGCGCCCTCTGCCGCTAGGACTGGGCTGCAGCCCAAAGCACCCCGAAGCACACAAAAGGCAGGAATTCCTCCGAAGAGTCTCGTGCATCCGAATTCTTGGTGGTCTCTTTAATAATAATAATAATAAAATAGAAGTTTTTATTTTGCATCATGACGACTAATCTCACCGCCAAAAATCACCGTTTGATGCTGAGTGATGGGAACAGCATCCCTGTGATTGGACTTGGGACATACTCAGACCCTAAAACGGTAAGAGCATTTATTACTTTTCTCCCCCTCGCATGAATATGAACTCACCACAGCGGTTCATTGTTAGGGTTCTGTTTCTTGAAAGGAAGCGTCTCTGTCTCCCCAGCTTCTTTTGAAACTTGTTTGGACTTTAGATTCTCCCCTCGCATTTCAACCCCATGCGTGCTTCCAACCCCCCCTGAACTCGTTAAAATTTATCTTGCAGAGATGTGATCAGCCTTGAAGAGTGAAATACGGTGAACCAGTAAGCCAATCTCTGGGGCCTCTTTTGCCAAATTCAATCAGCACAAATCAAACAAGCCAGAACATCATGTGTATTTAAACTTGGTTGTGGGTGTTTGTTGTTGACTCTGATGTAATTCAAGTGACTCTTAAGGCTACATTCTTACACATGCAGACTTGAGGGTTAAGCACCCTGAGGCGGCAATGCTAAATGCTCACTTACCTGGGAATAAACCCCAGTGAAAGCTTTGTGGGTGATATCTAACTCAGCCACACTCCCACTGAAAGAAATTAGTCCTAGATTCTAAACCCAGTGATTTCAGCGAGTGGGATTTAGTCAGATGTCACCCAGTGGGGCTTACTTCTGAGTAAACCTGCCTAGGATTGGACGCTGATAGTGGGACTTTTCTTCTGAGTTTAAATGTGCAAGAGATTTGGCTGCAAGCCCGTTTACAGTCGCACTCTGCTCAAGTGTCGTTGATAAAGAATTGTGAGTTAAGGAAAGTACTCATCTCTCACCTACATAAATCAGGGCGATGGATAAGTGCTCAATGTTGGTTGGATCCATTGTGCTGATAGATGGCAGAGCAGGGGCTGGCTTCAGACTTGTAGGATCGACCCTGTCTCTCACTGGCACCCCAAGATCCGCCAGTCAGAGCTTGGGGTGAAAGACATACATACAGTTAGCACGAAAGCCCTGGGCACCCCCCCCCAAGCCCATGCTGAGCTCAGGGCTTTGTTTCCATCGCCAGAACTGAACAGAGCTCACACAAAAGACTGGGGGTGGGATAGCTCTCAGCAGCCTCTCTTAGGTGTTTCTAGCAGGACTCTGCTAGCAATCACACACACTTACGTGGTTTTTAAAAAGAGGGGGCAAATCTATGGGGAAGACCACACTCTGTGGCCACTGCTAACCTCTGATGGCTACATTCTGCTTCCATTGTTGGATGCATACCATTCCGATACTTGGAAACTGCAGAAGGGGAGTGTGATTCCCCCTCCCCTTTCTGCTAGTGCTCTGGTCCTACTTGCAAGCTTCCCGCAGGCATCTGGGTGGTCACTGCGAGGCGACAGGATGCTGGACTAGATGGGCCACTGGCCTGATCCAGGGGCTCTCCTTGTATTCTTCTTCTTGTTGTTGTTTAGTCATGTCTGACTCTTCGTGACCCCATGGACCAGAGCACGCCAGGCACTCCTGTCTTCCACTGCCTCCCGCAGTTTAGTCAAACTCATGTTTGTAGCTTCGAGAACACTGTCCAACCATCTCGTCCTCTTTCGTCCCCTTCTCCTTGTGCCCTCCATCTTTCCCAACATCAGGGTCTTTTCCAGGGAGTCTTCTCTTCTCATGAGGTGGCCAAAGTATTGGAGCCTCAGCTTCACGATCTGTCCTTCCAGTGAGCACTCAGGGCTGATTTCCTTAAGAATGGATAGGTTTGATCTTCTTGCAGTCCATGGGACTCTCAAGAGTCTCCTCCAGCACCAGAATTCAAAAGCACCAATTCTCCTTGTATTCTTGCCTCCCAACAAATTCCACCCATTCACTCCTGCTGTAGATCAGGGGTAGGCAGATTTTAGCTTGATAAAAACTTGAAACTCAAGAGCTATAAGTTGGAGCCAGATACAACACACACACACACACACACACACACACACACGGATAGAATTAAAGAGCAGGGTGCGTATAAGTAGGGGCTGAGCCCAGGAGCTTCCCTCCCCACCTGCCCCCAGTTACCGGGACTGATCTGCACTCCCTCGAAAGTCCCCACCTGGTTTTCCTTGCAGACTTATTTAAGGGAAGGGCAATGCAAGAGCAGTTGCTATGTATGCAGAAGGTCGCAGGTTCAATTCCTGGTGTCTCCAGGTAGGACTGGGAGGGAGGTTGCCTGAACCCCAGAGAGCCCCTGCCAGCCAGCGTAGACCAGTAGTTCCCAATACTTCCCTCCAATGCAACCTCCCTCCCAGTCCTAATGCAACCTCCCTCCCAGTCCTACCATGGACCACTTGAAAATTGCTGATGGTCCTGGTGGACCAGTTTTTTCTGCATGTCAAGGCAATTCAAAGAACCATAGAATTGCAGAGTTGGAAGGGACCCTCAGGACCACCTGGTCCAACACCCCTGTAATGCAGGAATATGCAGCTGACCCTGGGCCACTTATAGTCTTTCAGCCGAGCCTACATGCAAAGAATGGGGAGGAGGAGAAGAACCATGTATGCCACCTTGAGCTTCTTGCAGAAAAGGGTGGGGGCACAGAAATGTAATGAAGTACTTCAATGAAATAAGGAATGCTCTGTTTCTACTGCTAGATGTCCTAGGACAGGCACCCCCAACCTGCGGCCCTCCAGATGTTTTGGCCTACAACTCCCATGATCCCTAGCTAACAGGACCAGTGGTCAAGGATGATGGGAATTGTAGTCCAAAACATCTGGAGGGCTGCAGGTTGGGAATACCTGTCCTAGGACTCCAGAATCCAAAGGAAGCCTGCATTCCCAGCCAACCATTCCTGATGTAGATGGTAAGAAGGGGGGGCGCCATTTTGTTTTCCGCCTCAGGCGCCAGAATGTCTTGGGCCAGCCCCTGATTGCAAGGGGAGCCAATATGGTTCCCTCCAAGAGCTGGAGTACAACTTCCCCACATCCCTGGCCGTTGGCTATGCTGACTTGCAGTTCACCAACATCTGGAGGAACAAAGCCAGAGGCCTGCTGATGTGCATATTATCACGGCCTTGACAATGATTTGATTGCAATGTGGGGGTCTAACTCTTCAAAATAGCTAAATAAATTCCATATATGCATGAAAGCAAGTCCCATGGCAGGAAGCAAAGCTTAATTCTGAGTAAATATATGAAGGATCAGGCGGCACATGTTTGTTCAGCCTTGGAATTTTTCTCCAAAGGAGGGAAAGGGAATCCTTTTGTTTGCCGGCTGGTGTTCCATCATGCATGTGCAATACAACTTGAGAGAAGGAGCTTTGTCAGATAAAGGGCTTCTACGTGTCCAGACAATAAGGTGATTCAGTTCTGCATGGTTACAAACTTTTTACTTTTTAATATTTTTCAAGGCCAGCTCATCTCTCTTAGTACAGTCCGGTACTTTTCTTATCCCTTGACTACTCATGCAGCATTTGATGACAGAGCTGTTGTGAAGATAAAAATGGAGAGGGGGAGAACGATGTAGCTAATCCCTTGATCTCTTTGCAGGAAAGGCAGGCTACAAAATGTATTTATTTCTTTGTCTCCCACCCCCCCAAGCATTTATAAGCAGCTTCATAGTTTCAAACTCTTTAAGTGGTAAATGTGAGAGAGATAAGTGAATAAGGATGGCTGAGAATTCCGTTGGTAAGAGAAATAGGTGTGGAAATTGCCTCGATTGGCACGCCAGCCCAAGGACGCACTCGCTAACCCGAGGTCACAAAGTGAACTCAGTGGGAACCGAATGGGATTGTGAGACTCGCTAGCCCTAGAAGTGCTTTCTAAGGTTTGCTGCCTGCCAATCCTGCTGCACTGAACAAATATAAAAGATGAAGAAATGTGCCGGAGCCTCTCGCAGCTGGCTCTGATGCATTCAAAGGAATGCCCCTGGAACAAAAGCCCAGATTCCATCACCCCAATTGCTGGGGCTCCTCAAACTGAGTGCCAAAACCAACTGTCGGAAGACGCCAAGGCATCTGGGTGTGCCTCTTGATGTGGTGCACTGGGCATTAGAGTTTATCTTCATCTTTGGACAGCCTTAATATCTACCAAAGCATACCTGATGCTCACAGGCTGATTCTTTCAGCCCATGTTTGCTTAGCACTAAGGTGGGCCATACCCATTCAAAATGGGGGGGGGGGAGAGTGGATAGGATGGTCTGCACTACTCTCGGCTGCAGGAGGAGCTACTAATTTTCTGAATGCGCTCCTACTTTATGCATTAAAACCTTCCTGTGGATAATGACAAACCAACATCTGTTTGACCATTATTCTCGTTTCCTATTTTCGGAAGACTCTTTTTAAAAAATAATAATGAAAGGGAGTCTTCAAAAATGCTTCAGGTTTGCAGAACATCTGGGTGATGCCATATTTTGCATGATATTTCGTCCCAGTAATGTTGCGCAGCTCTCCCCCCCAAAAAAACTGTGCACGCTCCAGAGGTTGTTGGACTCCAAATCCCATCAGCCCCAGCCAGCATGGCCAACAGTCAGGGATGATGGGAACTGGAGTCTAGCACCACCTGGACGGGAGATGCTGCCCCTCCATGTGCCTGAAATGAATGCATATTCTCCCCATGCAAACCCTTTCCCTTGTGACTTTTCATGTTGCAGTTTGAACCGCGAAGCTCCTTGGCCCAGGGGCTTGCCCAGCAGCGTTTTCCTAAGATATTATGCACTCTGATGGTACTACATCAGTGGTGGGGAAACTCTGGCCCTGGGGCCAAACATGGCCCCCTGGGCCTCTCTATCTGGCCCTCAAAAGTCTCCCCAAGCCACCCCTCTCCCTGGGCCTGCTTTCTCAGGCTAAACATAGCCAGTTCCTTCACTTGATCTTCATAGGACATGTTTTCCATACCGCTGGCTACCCTTATCAGTTGTTCAGTGTTTGCAGTAAACACGTCATAAATAATCTGTTCTTGGGGCCTGTGGGCAAGTTAAACTTGCAGACCATTGTAGCTCTATTTCTGTAATGGTGTGAATCAGCAAGTTACCCCATCAACTTGCATTTCTTGTTTATATATAAAAAATCATGGAATTGTAGAGTTGGAAGGGACACCCAGGGTCTTCTAACTTAACCACCTGCAACGCAG